CCCCGGCCCTTACCATTTCGGCCCGAAAGTTGTGAAATTCAAATTTTTCAATATTTGCCACTACGCCCCTTTCAAAGGGATGTGGGTGTCAGGATCCATCTAATGGCATGTATGTACATTCATTATGGGGAAACTAGCCAATTAAAAAAAAATAATATTTTCCTCCAAAATGCTGAACCACCCCGGCCCTTACCATTTCGGCCCGAAAGTTGTGAAAATTCAAATTTTTCAATATTTGCCACTACGCCCCTTTCAAAGGGATGTGGGTGTCAGGATCCATCTAATGGCATGTATGTACATTCATTATGGGGAAACTAGCCAATTAAAAAAAAATATATATTTTCCTCCAAAATGCTGAACCACCCCGGCCCTTACCATTTCGGCCCGAAAGTTGTGATAACTCAAATTTTTCAATATTTGCCACTACGCCCCTTTCAAAGGGATGTGGGGGTCAGGATCCATCTAATGGCATGTATGTACATTCATTGTGGGGAAACTAGCCTTCTAAAAAAAATATATATTTTCCTCCAAAATGCTGAACCACCCCGGCCCTTACCATTTCGGCCGAAAGTTGTGATAATTCAAATTTTTCAATATTTGCCACTACGCCCCTTTCAAAGGGATGTGGGGGTCAGGATCCATCTAATGGCATGTATGTACATTCATTGTGGGGAAACTAGCCTAATAAAAAAAATTAATATTTTCCTCCAAAATGCTGAACCACCCCGGCCCTTACAACTTCGGCCCAAAAAGTTGTGATAATTCAATTTTTTACTATATTTGCCACTACGCCCCTTTCAAAGGGATGTGGGGGTCAGGATCCATCTAATGGCATGTATGTACATTCATTGTGGGGAAACTAGCCTAATAAAAAAAATTAATATTTTCCTCCAAAATACTGAACCACCCCGGCCCTTACCATTTCGGCCCGAAAGTTGTGAAATTCAAATTTTTCAATATTTGCCACTACGCCCCTTTCAAAGGGATGTGGGGGTCAGGATCCATCTAATGGCATGTATGTACATTCATTGTGGGGAAACTAGCCTTCTAAAAAAAAATAATATTTTCCTCCAAAATGCTGAACCACCCCGGCCCTTACCATTTCGGCCCGAAAGTTGTGATAATTCAAATTTTTCAATATTTGCCACTACGCCCCTTTCAAAGGGATGTGGGGGTCAGGATCCATCTAATGGCATGTATGTACATTCATTGTGGGGAAACTAGCCTAATAAAAAAAAATAATATTTTCCCCCAAAATGCTGAACCACCCCGGCCCTTACAACTTCGGCCCAAAAAGTTGTGATAATTCAATTTTTACTATATTTGCCACTACGCCCCTTTCAAAGTGATGTGGGGGTCAGGATCCATCTAATGGCATGTATGTACATTCATTGTGGGGAAACTAGCCAATTAAAAAAAAATATATATTTTCCTCCAAAATGCTGAACCACCCCGGCCCTTACCATTTCGGCCCGAAAGTTGTGATAACTCAAATTTTTCAATATTTGCCACTACGCCCCTTTCAAAGGGATGTGGGGGTCAGGATCCATCTAATGGCATGTATGTACATTCATTGTGGGGAAACTAGCCTTCTAAAAAAAAAAAATATTTTCCTCCAAAATGCTGAACCACCCCGGCCCTTACAACTTCGGCCCAAAAAGTTGTGATAATTCAATTTTTTACTATATTTGCCACTACGCCCCTTTCAAAGGGATGTGGGGGTCAGGATCCATCTAATGGCATGTATGTACATTCATTGTGGGGAAACTAGCCTAATAAAAAAAATTAATATTTTCCTCCAAAATGCTTAACCACCCCGGCCCTTACCTTTTCGGCCCGAAAGTTGTGAAAATTCAAATTTTTAAATATTTGCCACTAACCCCTTTCAAAGGGATGTGGGTGTCAGGATCCATCTAATGGCATGTATGTACATTCATTATGGGGAATCTAGCCAATTAAAAAAAAAAAAATATTTTCCTCAAAAATGCTGAACCACCCCGGCCCTTACCATTTCGGCCCGAAAGTTGTGATAACTCAAATTTTTCAATATTTGCCACTACGCCCCTTTCAAAGAGATGTGGGGGTCAGGATCCATCTAATGGCATGTATGTACATTCATTGTGGGGAAACTAGCCTAATAAAAAAAATTAATATTTTCCTCCAAAATGCTGAACCACCCCGGCCCTTACCATTTCGGCACGAAAGTTGTGATAATTCAAATTTTTTAATATTTGCCACTACGCCCCTTTCAAAGGGATTTGGGGGTCAGGATCCATCTAATGGCATGTATGTACATTCATTGTGGGGAAACTTGCCTAATAAAAAAAAAAAATATTTTCCTCCAAAATGCTGAACCACCCCGGCCCTTACCATTTCGGCCCGAAAGTTGTGATAACTCAAATTTTTCAATATTTGCCACTACGCCCCTTTCAAAGAGATGTGGGGGTCAGGATCCATCTAATGGCATGTATGTACATTCATTGTGGGGAAACTAGCCTAATAAAAAAAATTAATATTTTCCTCCAAAATGCTGAACCACCCCGGCCCTTACCATTTCGGCACGAAAGTTGTGATAATTCAAATTTTTTAATATTTGCCACTACGCCCCTTTCAAAGGGATTTGGGGGTCAGGATCCATCTAATGGCATGTATGTACATTCATTGTGGGGAAACTTGCCTAATAAAAAAAAAAAATATTTTCCTCCAAAATGCTGAACCACCCCGGCCCTTACAACTTCGGCCCAAAAAGTTGTGATAATTCAATTTTTTACTATATTTGCCCCTACCCCCCTGTCAAAGGGATATGGGGGTCAGGATCCATCTAATGGCATGTATATACATTCATTATGGGAAAACTAGCCAATTAAAAAAAAAAAATATTTTCCTCCAAAATGCTGAACCACCCCCGCCCTTACCATTTCGGCCCGAAAGTTGTGAAATTCAAATTTTTCAATATTTGCCACTACGCCCCTTTCAAAGGGATGTGGGTGTCAGGATCCATCTAATGGCATGTATGTACATTCATTATGGGGAAACTAGCCAATTAAAAAAAAATATATATTTTCCTCCAAAATGCTGAACCACCCCGGCCCTTACCATTTCGGCCCGAAAGTTGTGATAACTCAAATTTTTCAATATTTGCCACTACGCCCCTTTCAAAGGGATGTGGGGGTCAGGATCCATCTAATGGCATGTATGTACATTCATTGTGGGGAAACTAGCCTAATAAAAAAAATTAATATTTTCCTCAAAAATGCTGAACCACCCCGGCCCTTACCATTTCGGCCCGAAAGTTGTGATAACTCAAATTTTTCAATATTTGCCACTACGCCCCTTTCAAAGGGATGTGGGGGTCAGGATCCATCTAATGGCATGTATGTACATTCATTGTGGGGAAACTAGCCTAATAAAAAAAATTAATATTTTCCTCAAAAATGCTGAACCACCCCGGCCCTTACCATTTCGGCCCGAAAGTTGTGATAATTCAAATTTTTCAATATTTGCCACTACGCCCCTTTCAAAGAGATATAGGGTTCAGGATTCATCTCATCGGATGTATGTACATTCATTATGGGGAAACTAGCCAATTAAAAAAAAAATATATATTTTCCTCCAAAATGTTGAACCAAACCGGCCCTTACCATTTCGGCCCGAAAGTTGAGATAACTCAAATTTTTCAATATTTGCCACTACACCCCTTTCAAAGGGATGTGGGGGTCAGGATCCATCTAATGGCATGTATATACATTCATTGTGGGGAAACTAGCCTATTCAAAAAATATAATTTTTTCCTCCAAAATGCTGAACCACCCCGGCCCTTACAACTTCGGCCCGAAAAGTTGTGATAATTCAAATTTTTACAATATTTTCTCCTACCCCCCTGTCAAAGGGATATAGGCGTTAGAATCCATCTTATTGCATGTATGTACTTTCATAATGGGGAAACTAGCCTATTAAAAAAATATAATATTTTCCGCCAAATTGCTGAACCACCCCGGCCCTTACAACTTCGGCCCGAAAGTTGTGATAATTCAAATTTTTCAATATTTGCCACTACGCCCCTTTCAAAGGGATATAGGGTTCAGGATCCGTCTCATCGGATGTATGTACATTCATTATGGGGAAACTAGCCAATTAAAAAAAAAACTAGATGGAATTTTGACTGCGCGCAGTCGAAAATGATGCCTCCGCCATAGAGCAATTTTAACAAGTTTGGAGTTTAAATCTCCAGTGGTTCTTGAGATATCATGATAACAATCTCAATGTATGGAATTTCATAAGTTGACCTCTGTGACCCTTGACCTTTGACCTACGTGCTCCAAAATCTAATCAGATTGTCTTCCTATGGTGATACACACTATCATTAAGTTTGAAGTTTAAATCTCCAGTGGTTCTTGAGATATTATGATATGGTGATACATACTATCATTTAGTTTGAAGTGAAAATTCTCCAGTGGTTCTTGAGATATCGCGATAACGATCTCAATGTATGGAATTTCATAAGTTGACCTCTGTGACCCTTGACCTTTGACCTACGTGCTCCAAAATCTAATCAGATTGTCTTCCTATGGTGATACACACTATCATTAAGTTTGAAGTTTAAATCTCCAGTGCTTCTTGAGATATTATGATTACAATCTCAATGTATGGAATTTCATAAGTTGACCTCTGTGACCCTTGACCTTTGACATACGTGCTCCAAAATCTAATCAGATCGTCTTCCTATGGTGATACATACTATCCTTAAGTTTGAAGTTTAAATCTCAAATGGTTCTTGAGATATCGCGCTAACAAACTCAATACAAGGAATTTCATAAGTTGACCTCTGTGACCTGTGACCTTTGACCTACGTACTCCAAAATCTAATCAGATCGTCTTCCTATGGTGATAAATACTATTCCCGAGTCTTAAGTTTAAATCTTAAATGGTTCTTGAGATATTGTGATAACGGTCAAACGGGACGGACGTACGGACGGACAACCCGAAAACATGATGCCTCCGGCACCACCTTCGGTGGCGGAGGCATAAAAATATGGACTTGAGAAAAAGAATTGATTGGAGATGAAAAGAGAAAGCAAATACAACAATATATAACTTGACATACCTGAGAGCATGAGGCCCCTCTCTCCTACAACCGTGTCATACTCATTCGGGAAGGACTTGATGAAGTAATGAGCGTTGGCCGTCCTAGCTGCCTCTTCTATCATCGTCATAGTAACATTATCAGGATCGATGGCTCCATAGGCTATGTTCTCCCTGATACTGCAAGAGAAGAGTGTTGGCTCCTGCAAAATGAAATCACAAGCAACACTTTGAGCACATAAGCTAGTTACATTAAAAATAGTTTAAGTTGAACTTTTCTCTACTGAGGTGAACATTGATACCATTAGAAATTACTCAAACAGGGCACCGTCTTAGAAAGAGTTGCGATTAATTGCAACTTAGTCCTAAAAAAACAATCTTGAAATTATTTTTTTGACTTGTTCATCAGTTTTGATGCAGAGAATGTTCTACAGATTTTTTCACCCACCACTTGTGTTCTCTCCCTTTCTTTCTCCGCAGCTGTGTCGAGGAGTATTGCTGGAGGCTCAGCATCACTGTAGAGCAGGCTAATAATGCTGTACTGCTCCTTGAGGTCTGCTATCTCACTTTCAAGATTCTCTTCTTTGCTCTCCAGATGGGCATGCTCTACTGCCTCATTGAAGCACTGCCTGGTGGTGATGGCTCCAGTGCAACCTCTACTGCCTCATTGAAGGGCTGCCTGGTGGTGATGGCTCCAGTGCAACCTCTACTGCCTCATTGAAGCGCTGCCTGGTGGTGATGGCTCCAGTGCAACCTCTACTGCCTCATTGAAGGGCTGCCTGGTGGTGATGGCTCCAGTGCAACCTCTACTGCCTCATTGAAGCGCTGCCTGGTGGTGATGGCTCCAGTGCAACCTCTACTGCCTCATTGAAGCGCTGTCTCATAGTGATGGCTCCAGTGCAACCTCTACTGCCTCATTGAAGCGCTGCCTGGTGGTGATGGCTCCAGTGCAACCTCCATCTGCCTCAGCTTGCCCAGCTTTTCGGCCATTTTGAGGTCAAGATGGTGACATTCTTTCTCCATAGCTACCAAATGCTTCAGGAAAATTCCAAGGGAAAAATGGAGTCCAGGGGAGCACACCTGCAAAGTGAATAGTACCATATGTTTGCTGATTACACTTCATAATTATTTCTCCTTTTTAACTAGTTACCAGTCAACCTACACATCAGACCAACATCTGTGCCCGACCCTCAGTTACTGCAGTCGGAATGAATCCATGATAAATCTGTTCCGACTTGGATAGGAGTCTGTGCAGTAAGTCTTAGTCCTGGCTGCATATTTACTATTAGCTATTAGGCTGGGATGCACTTTTTTTAACTCAATAAAACCATTATCAAAATATTCAATCAATTCAATTGATATATTTGTTTGCACTGTTATTATTGTATTATTCTCCACAGTGATACAGTTGATTTTTTTTTAAATAAAATAAAAATGTAGGCTTTCAAGGCCTGGAGTTTAATTGTAAACTTTAAGTGCTTACATTTCAATGACATATACCCACCCTGTCCAAAGGAATGTCAAACTTGGGGGGGCCTTATGACATTGTTGCATTCCTTGGTTACTGGTCTTGCGTCTCCAAGGATGCCTTCATTGTCTGGAGTGACCTCTTCTGAACAGGTTGGCCTTCTGGAGGGAGAGCCATTTGTTGTTTGGTGGTGGTGCAGTATAGACAACAGTGTCTGCCTGTGATATGAAAAAGCCAAAATAGAAAACAAATAGAAAACCAATTGTCTTTTTTCATATTTTAAATGTCATATTTTTGTTATGAATAAATCTCTAACAAGACCACTGTATGGCCTCTGTATCATAAACTCCATGTCAGAATCATGTAGTTATAATTGAATGCTTCTAATACTCACCATTAAGGCCTGACAGTCTGTAGATCCTTGTGAGGCACTCATAGTCTCCAATAAAGAATGTCGCAATCTGCTTTCCCCTGCAAGTAAATAGAGGAAAAATTGATTTACCATTAATTTGTTTTATTATTCATTTTTTCGTACAAAGTAAATACTATTTGACTAAGAAGAAGAACACAAGTGTCTCAGAATCGCCCATTTAAATTTGATCTATTTGATTTTTATTAAAGAATATACTATTGTTTTCCTGCATTGGATGTACAGGGTGTATTGTAATACTACATAAAATAGTAAGCAGAATATTAAAACTTGGATTTTGTTTTCTTTGTCTGATGCACTCCTCCATAGGAAACACAGAAACTTACCTCCACGACTCTGATGAAAGGTCATGACTCTGATGAAAGGTCATAGATCTGCTTCTCCATCCCCTTCAGGGGGACAGTCAGATTGAAGCAGGAGTCTTTGGCTTCGAAGACGCGGATGGAGTGGGTATTCAGGAGGCTATTTGGCCGCTCAACATTTGCCAGTTGCACCATTAGCTTAAAGGAGGTGCCCCCTTTATCTCTGCCAATTTTGACCCAGATCTGGTCTTCAGGGATTTTGCCATTGTGCCACGTTAGCTGGTTCAGACTGTTGGTTAAATCATATTCAGATATAAGCTAGTAACACATTTTATTTGTTGTGTTATGTTGACCCCTTAATTTCACCCCCAGAAGCCCACGCAATGCACAAGCTGGTATTATCGAGCCATTTTAAAGGACATTTTGTTTTTATGTAAGTGACCTGAGAACCATTCTTTTTAATTTCTTTTAACTATGTTTATTTAATATATGTATTAGAGTTTTTGCTCTCAGTTAGGAAGTAATAAAAAATACAGGATAAAAATTAAAAAAAGAAACTTACTCTGCATATTCGTCTAGAGTTGAGAACACCTTATCTTTTAACTCGTCCATGACCACCATTTGGGATTTCTTGATCTCATATGCCTAATCAAATTCCCCTGAATGATGGTTTGTTGTAGGCTCTTTACCCCCTTTCCGCGTGCTGTGGTCACATGTCTCTCTCTCTTAGCCATCTATTGGAAATTGGAAATGAAGAATATTACAATTATATTCAAATTAAATCCCCTCTAAAAATGTTAGGAGTCTCAGATTTGCGAAGAAAATTTATGGTAACATTTCACTTTTTTGATGATGTAAAAGAGTATGTCATTTAAAACAAATTACTGTATGGATTCTCAAAACTAATGTGTCTGAGAACGAATATTAATGAAAGAATACAAAATTTAGGTTTCATGTTATACACAGCAAACCTACATTTTGTATTTAGACGGTTGAATGAGTATTGCAATAAATCATCTTATGCTCTTACTGTTTTAACTTTCGGAGCTTTGTCCAACTCAAGTTGAAGAAGCTCTTCAGTTCCATAACATCCACTACCGGAATATGTATTTTTCCAAATTCCTGGAAGATGTCCTCCAGTTTGTCCTTAGTTTTGAGGTGATGTAGCTCTTCCTTTTGTTGCTTGGATGGCTGTTCGAGGGAGATGGTGTCTCGTACCTTTTCCATGAACAATGTCCTCCGACGCAGCGTTGAAGGTGCACATGCGTCACTCGAGGTCGATGGTTCGACTATTTGGGAAAAAGGTATTTAAAAAATGCATATGATTTTAGTGCCTGTATTTTATCTGTACCAAATAACATGTACATGTATATCTACAGTGAAGCAAGGGTATCTTGTCTCCTTGATAAAAAAAATAGGGGGGGGGGGCGGTTATACTGTAAAACTGGATATATTATCTGTGATAAATTTTGCACACTTTCACTGTTTTTTTTAACTTGTGAAAGACAGTTCATGAACCACAAATATTTATATTAGAGATTTATGGCAGTGAGAAGGAACCTTGTGATAACCATATATATATATATATATATATATATATATATATATATATTTAGAAGACATTCATTTTTTACCAAGACAATAAAGAAAATCCTTGAGATAGCAACAAGTGGGACCTTTATTGATCTACGCTACGTTTATCTGTTTACTATGGACGCACGATGAATAGTTTTGTTATTTTAATCAGAAAAGGTATTTGCTTTGTTTTTTCTTGGATTTTCTTTTACTATGTATAATAAACACACTGTTAGTCAATATATTCTGATTATTTTCTCTATTCTATATTTTTTTTTTATGTGCTTACATTAACAATCATTTATTCTATGTGTAAAACAGAGAGAGAGAAATGATAGTAAATGACCATACCTTTCCAGTTGTTTTGAATACTTGGGTGCCGATAAGTTCCCTTTCTGATTGGGTTAGGCTACATGTTGCTGATTGTTTTTTGCAGTAGCTGTGGTCAGCTTGAAGAGTTTATGTTGCAGTGTAGCCGTAGGCATCTTGCATGGAGGTCTGAAAGAAGTAAGTGTACATAGTCTGGTGCCGGTGTTACTTGGGTGTAATGTATTGAGGTGTGGCATGTTGGACTGTTTTGACATGCATTCTTGGTACTGACAAAGAAAGACACAATACAGGCAACACAAAAGAAATGATGACATGGAGTTTCCACAGGACAAGACACTACACGGTCACACAAACCACAAACAAGAAACAAATCTTTTACAAGAAAACGGTTGGACAGGGTGGGTTTATCATCATTCACGCTACCTGACTCCCCTACCAAATCGTGCAAATATTCTGTTATAATTGAAGAGACCGACTTCTGTGGCCGCCCCCTATACTTGATCTTCTTTGTTCTCCCCTTTTTAGTTGTTTTGTCGTATTTTTGACATGACTCACATGACCGTTCGGTACGCTTGTGGGATACCCATACTTTCACCTTGCATTCTTTTCTTTTTTTCAACAATGTATAACAACGGTGACAAAATCGGGGAGGGTAGATATCGGGTTCATCCCCTCCCACATCCACACCCAAATCCCCCCAAATTCATCCCTGTAACTCTCTACCAGGTGCGTGACCCCCTATATAACCTACTGAATTTCTTACCCGGTTGCCACAAAACCTGCATAGAGCCTAGTATGCATGGGCCTCCGACCCCTAGCACCCCCCTGGCTAGTCATGGACAAATCCCACACAAACACAACGTCACTACACAGAAAAATAAGCACAGAATCAAATTCCATAGGTGGGAAAGCACACAAAAATTGAGAAGTTGGAGAAAACAAAGGACAAAGACAGATGACGTTACTGAAATATGTACTGTAAAAATGATAATAGCCGTCCACCCACTCGATATTGAACTTAACGAACGAGTATTAAGAAGGCTGATCGTACAAAATGTGTTATGTGTTATGACGTGATAGTGATATCGACCACTGGAACCAGAGCTATCGATTTGCACTTAAAATTACTTTTTATGCATTTTTCAAAGTCTCAAAATTCCCGCGAATTCATGACGTATTGGCCCAGGGCCCATTAAAGTGATTTGCGACACCAACGTCGAAACAGAACTAGCGAGTGCAGTCATTAATCATGGTGGGCTGCAGCTAAGGAATGTCGCTCTATGTGCGCGGAACATACGTGAATGCGGACCAATTACAAGTTGGTTTCAAGGGGGACGAATTGCCAATCGATTTCAATGGGGACCAATTGCCAATCAGTTTCAATGGGGACCAATTATGCCAATCAGTTTCAATGGGGATCAATTGCTAGTTGGTTTCAATGGGTACCAATTGCCAGTTGGTTTCAATGGGGACCAATTGCCAGTTGGTTTCAATGGGGACCAATTGCCAGTTGGTTTCAAAGGGGACAAATTGCCAATTGGTACTCAATTGGGATTCAATTGAGACATTCAATGGGGATTCAATTGGATTTTCATCTTAGGACCCCAGGAACCGAAGGCCAAGTCAATATATTTCAGTTACACATGTAAATCTGTACTGTAAAAATATTTCCATCCTTACCAGCTAGCTCATTCTGCCAAGGAAGACAAGGAGCATGAGGAAGAGCTAGAGGAAGAGCTAGAGGCCGAGGAGGGTGCAGATGATGAGGACGAGGATGAGGAGCTTGGACCTTTCTGCATCTATAAACAAAAAAGAAAAGACAGAGAAATAGTGTTCTGTAACAACAAAAGATGTGACAGGAGGAAAAGGTTTCATCATGATTGCCTGCAGCTCAAGTTTTAAAACCTTCCCAAAGAAACTGGTTTTGTAGTAATAAGTGTCATCAGCAACATCAAGAGAAAAGAGAAAATAAGAAGGGAAAGGAGACTAATCTAGATACAGTATTCTAAAGCTATACTGCATTTAGGCCTGAGGCACTTAGGTGAGATGGTGTGCCATTATGCAAAAGAGAGGGAGATGGAAATAGCATGATCCAACATAGACCAAAAGCTTCAGTCTCTCTAATCGTCGGTTGTTCCACTGAGACTACGTCTGGCTCCACTAGACCTCCGATTATGGGGAATGTCAACAAATGTCAGTTTTATTAAAGAAATGACTCATATCAGACGGCTATTTCTGTCTAGATCCAACACTGGCGTCTAGATCTGTTCCAATGCTATGAAAAACATCACTGGAAATATGTAATCGAAGGTCACAATCTGATCATGGATGTTAATGGTGGAGTATCAGAAAGGGTAGCTCATCAGCTCAGGTGGAATAGGACAGAGAACAGTCAGAACATACATGGAGGTGAGGGGAAGAACATTGGAAAGGATCTTTTCACTGGAATTCATGAATAAGGACTACAAGGTGTCAACTGACAGTGCTGGACAAAATCTAACCGAGATTGTCGTATCACGTTATAGTCAAGTAGTGGGAAAGAAGAAGACTCTAAATAGAATATTTGACACCAAGGTGACAGGGAGAAAGATAGTTGTCAAGAAACATGCAGTCCAGGCCAGGGAATCTGACACTGCAATTCTTGCTGAATGTCTGGTAATAAACAAGTGTTTGGTAAAAATCCCTGGAAGATCACATCAAAGATTTGAAGACTTTGAGTTTGAACAAAAATTGAATCTGGACAGGTATAGAGTACCGAAGCTATGACGTCATAAAAATCTATTTTTAGAATTTCTCAATTTTTTCTTCATTTTCCGAAAGCAATACTTAACATATTCAATTGGTTTTCGACATTTGGACATTAGTTTTGATGCTCTTTCGGAAAATGAAGAAAAAATTGAGAAATTCTAAAAATAGATTTGTTGATGACGTACTCTACAGTATAAGGCCAAGATGTCAGCCCTGAGTGAGAGGAGAGTGAAATGGGCTAAAGCAGCAGGACTGGTATAAGAAATGAAACAGTACCATGATCTTGCATAATATCAAAGTCTGTGATTTGAAAGACTGATGTTGAGAATTGAGATTAAGATTAAAACTGGATTTTGTCTTCTTGATGGATAATATTTTCAGGGAGTAATCGCATAATCAGCATATACTTTTTGATAGATATATTGTTTATACATTAACGGCATCTACCGTATTTGCCGGCGATAAGGCCGCAGCGCCGTATAGGCCGCACCCCTGATTTCGATCTCTTGCGTACAAATGTTGATGTGACTAAAATCATCGCCTTAAACCGCGCGGCCATCCTGCCCTGATACCATACACTGCTGTTTTCTGTGATGTAGTCATTGAAATGGATTGAAAATGGCGACTTCGCATACTGGATGCTTCGCGGCGGCTACGTTAAACGGGCCCTTCTTTTACTTTTGCAATGCATTGGCACGATCTTAGTTCAAAATCTATCGGCAGATGTTGTTTTTGGAAGTTTATTTTCGTCTTCATGTCAACAATGCAAGATAAAATTATCAGTAAGATGTGTGGAAATGTATAGTTATTGTACTGTTCGTAGATCTAGTCCCATATGTACAAATTCGTGCTGGTTTTGATTTTTTTCTTTTTTTTCTGTTTCGTTGTAAAGGCCGCACCCCGACTTTTTGATATTTTCTCATAGCCTACAGGACTCGCACTTGCAGGGGGACTGTTGTGTGCAGTCTCTCTCTTGACATGCCTCTGCCCTCTCTCCCACATCAGCTGTGCCTGGAATTTTGAAGGTGGCAAGGAGTGTGGCATGTACATTGGTCTCCGTTGACAAGCTCCTTCATTGTACCCCTTTACCGGACATTTTGGGAACACGCATGCGGTCCCTCCGACCTCGGAGTGGGGGTCATCCTTCATGTTGTTGTATGCTCGTTTGAAGGCAAAGAGAGCAAAACCGTTGGCGAGGAGGAGAGCAAAACCTGTATCTGTATCTGTATGATTTGGTCAGCAAAATGTCCTTTCCAGACACATCCACGCTAACGTATTTGTAGACAGAGCACGCTGTGTGTGGGTTGACTCTAATCAAGTTATTGGGAATGTTTAAGTAAATTGTTCTTAAAAGTGGTTAATGATGGGCTATTTACTATGGAGGTTGGGAGGTTATTCCAGTCCTTGATGGTTGACACAAAAAAGGAGTCCTGGTAGGCTCTAGCTTTGTGGCGAAGTTGTAGGAACTTCTGGTTGTTCCCCCTGGTTTCTCTGGGATTCAGTTGTACATAGTCATACAAAGGAATGTCGACCAGTCCATTCTTCATTTTGTATAACATGCTGAGTCTCTGGTTTCTCCTTCTAGTTTGAAGCGATTCCCATCCTACTTCCTAGGTCTTTTAGCGCCTTGGTGACTGAATTGACTGAAGTGACTGGCGAGTTGGCAAGCACAGCGCCCATCTTCTTGCCAATAATAAGTCAGGGCATCCTCCACTCCCCAGTTGATGACAACTTCAACATCCTCGATGTCAGTCCCAAGTCCAAAGGCCAGAGCATGCAGTAACTAACACTCTGAAGCAGCTACCAGCCACCCGGTCCCCTAGCTACCCGGAGCGGCATCGGCGTCGGCACTCCAGCAAAGCATAGAGAGTCAATGCTAATGCTTCAGAGCTTCCCTGGAGTTGTACCTGAATGAAGATTATGAATTACACTCGTACTCGTCGCGTCGTCATTGAAATCATCAAGATCAAATGTCTCATGCTCATAGCTCATACTCATAGTACCTAAATTAAGTTGTAGATCTAGAGATGTAATTTGTTAGTGTTTTGATACCTGAAAGAAGAGTAAAATAATCCTCGTCCATGATATCCAAACAATACCTGAGAAGTAAGCATATTCTCTCAGCTCAGCTCGGCTCACTCGGCTCGGTGAAGATTCGCCATGCATTTCGAATAAGGAGCAATTGTAATGATCAGGCATGTCAGGTGATCGAGTTGGTGATCACGTGATTGAATTGGCCAGTTCGTTGCACTCGCGAATTAATGTCCATTTCCATTTTCATAATAATTAAGTGCCTTTTTCTAGTAATCTCAAGTAAGTTCCCCTTTTCAGGTACGAGAAGCAACCTTTTACACTTTTGATAAGCGCCCCCTATACCTCTGATAACTGCCCTATTCAAATCTTAGAGGTTTCCCTTTTGCTTTGACAATTAAGTTCCCTTTTTTCCTAATTTGTAAAAAGTGCCCTAAGCTTCCCCATTTAATAACTACCCCTTTTCCTTTCCTTTTTTTTTTATAAGTGCC